TCTGAATTCATAACTCAAAAAAATGTTCACAAATTGTTGAGTGCAGAAATATTGTGACAAGAATGAACTGGTATAAAAAAAAAAATTCAAAAAGGAACAACCTCGTGAGAAAAAAAATTGTTTGTTACACTGGAAGCACTAAGCATATAAAAAAAGACATCTGAACTGCAACTCTGCCAAACAAGAATTGAAGGCTTGGTAGAGGAGTGTAGAGGGAGTCATGCATCACATGAACATGTCATGCTACTATTGGTTAAGGGATGATGCATGATGATTTGCATGAGAGACATGTTAAAATATAGTACTTCCAACAAAGGGGGGGGGGTGTGCAAGGCCCATTGAAGGAGTTATGTTACTGATAAGAAAACATAAACACCAAACGATCAATAACAGTCTGTGGCTACACACCAAGTGAGGTCACCCTTATGCTATAATTCTCAATAAATATTCTTACCTGATTAATTCTTATAAAAAAATATTTCTATAGTTTTCAAACTGACATAACATAAATATAATATCAGCAAAACAAAAAAAATGTCACCAGAAACTATAAAAAACCTAAGGCCTTTAATTAGTTGAAAAGAATTTCTAAACACAATATTCAACCAAATGGTCCAATCTTATTACAAAGTAGTTTCAGTTTTCTACTTCATATGTCATTTTAATAGTTTATTTTACTTTTCAACTTATGACAGTGCAATAGTTTTCTAATTGAATGATCAAACAATTTCCTGTTTTTGTTTCTTCAGTCACTTGCCCTACACCCACTAGAAGTAGAACATATCCCAAGACCCTAGAATTTGATCTCTATATCTAATTCATGTGTAAATCAACCAACTTTATACCATTAAATTACCTGCAATTTTAAGTTCAATCAATTCCATATCAGTGTCACACAGTTTGACTCGTACTTCATCAATACGTGCAGATATTCCAAACTTGGTTGAACCAGGAGGAACAGGAGGATCATTTTGGGCATATAGTATAAGAGATGTAGTATCTGGAACCACTGAAGAGAATAAGGATGCACTAAGCTGATTTTTAGGTTGGATTCTGAAATTGAAACCAGACAGGAAACATAAAGAGATGTCAAAATGTAAGATATATATATACGTACAAAATGGATACAGTTATTTCATTTTCCAATTTAAACTATTCTTCAAGAAAACTGAATACATTTATATTATTGTACATTGGCAGATACACATTGGATAAGCTGGATAGTAAAGAAATGTGAAGGATGTGTACCTAAAATTTCATGTACTTCTAAAGTTCATATATTTTTCTTAATTTCTTATAAATATGCTAATTAATTTTGGTTTGTTTTGATAAAATACAATAGAAACTTTGGGTATATTTGCACAGATTATACAATCTTTATTAATCTACTGTCACCAGGTTGGGTTTAGCCATTGTTTGTACTATTACTAAAGTTACATCATTATTTTCATTGTGATGCAGAAAGTAGCAGTCCTTAATTTCAACTTCTTTATATGTAAAATGCAGTCACTTTATCTTTACATTAACAAGAAAAAAGGAAAGAAGGGGAAAAAAAAGAAGAAAGGGAGATTGTAATTTTCACACAATGTTCAAATGAGTTTAATTGTTCATTAGACCCACTAAAATTCAAACTAGTCCTTGGCATGTTAAAAAATGTGAAAAAACAAAACAAGGGTAGTGAATTGCATTGTTGAGTTAATTGGGATAGTTTATGATACTAAATATATGTACACTAGCATATACATCAAAAAACGAAATAAATTTTAAACAGGAAGAAAGGAAGAGAAGAAAAAATTAAGAACTAAATCTTTTGAATATGTTCAATTATACAAAGAAGTACAGAGTTATTAGGTGCATTAAAGATTTAGCATTTAATTTTAATGACAATTAGTTAATGTGAGTTCAAATGAAAATACAGAATTACCACTTGATTATTGATAAATATAATATTAGATTTAGCTTGAGTTTTGTTTTTGTACAAGGCATCAAGTCTGAGACAGAGATTAATTTATAATCAGTCACAGTGTTAAACCACCTGAAGTATAGTTGTGTGCAACATTATGACAGATAAATCTTTGGTGTATGGGTTCAATGGCTAACACAACTATGATCTGCAAACTGTACCACACAGTGCCACATATACACATCATTAAACAGTAGGGCTGTAATGAAGAGTAGACTGTGATCTTAAAGGTTTGGAACACATTACTCAATTAATATTTGAAATTTCAATAGCTTTTGATTTGTATAAGTTCTTGACATCACCATAACTACCCGTTTATATTTGATTGAAAACTTTTATTTTACACATATCCACATATGTGAAATAAAACATTCACACTTAGTTTAAAAATATGTTATATATATAACAGTAATCATGTTTTTAATATTTCGAAAATAATTGTTTATGTACACATACTTTATGTGTGATACTCATATAGCTACATGCAATAAGGTTGCATTGTATGAACACCCTATTGCTGCCAATTAGAAAAACTGCTGCTGACTTAAGCAAAACAAACCTATATTTGACAGTCACTGTTCCAAGCAGGTAATAGTCATATCATTTAACAATATTGTTTATTAATCAAACATACCTAACAAAAATAATAATAAACAAACAACAGAACAGAACAACATCAACACTTCTATTATAAAATAAATAGACCTTCAGTTATAATAAATATTTACAAGAGAGGGTGTTATTGTTAGCCCTATTTATTTTTTATATAATTGTTGATTAATTAAATATATGCCATGAATGGGATAGAGGAATTTTAGAGTTATTCCAATGTTCCTATTTTGTGTTTCATAATTATTCTACCACAATACTTCTCTTACATCTTATGCACTAGACATTCAATACATTTTATTCTAGCAATGTAGCTGCTAAGCATAACTCCCTGTGCTTTATTATAATGGTCTACTTAAATGAAAGTAAGGAGCTGCTACATATAATTTCCTTTGTGTAACCCCTACAACCTCCTAAATGTATTTCAAACATTTTTCTCTTCAGTAAAACTTAATAGATTATCTGTTATTTTCTCTACCCTATCTCAAAATGGGATCGGTCAATTTGACCGACCTCATAACCACCAAAAAAAATAGAAATAAATCTAAATTACTCTTTTTTCTTTCTAGAATGACTTCAAATGTAACATCAAACTACATTCATTTATTTTAAGTAACTTTAAACTCATAGCAGTATATACATGTTAATAATGAAATTTTATTGTTTCATTGCCCATATAAACGTAAATTATTCTCTATAAAGTCATTATTGCTCAGATAAACCATAATTTCTATAGTTTTCAATTTTGTTTGGTTACAGAGCTATCGATTAGAAAAATCAGACCCCTCATGCCACACCCACTGTTACATCCTCTCTTTCACAATTCGTTGACAATTCTCTCTTACGTTTCATTATATATTATCTATAACCAATAGAAAGTCAAGATTTTCATCTATAAAATGACGTATTGTATAATGTTGTATTCTAAACAGAATATCGTCAATTTCACATCGTTCCCGTGGGAAAGTTAACGACTTGCTTTGTAATGGCTCATGTCGCATAGTTAGAAAGCCAAGAAAATATTTAGAAGTGAATTTGTCTACTTTTTGCATGTTATTAGTTCATATTTTTTGGTGCATTATTTAATTAAATAAAAATTGTTAAGTGCTTTACTATAAGCACTAAAAAAATCATGATTAACTCTCCTCGATAATTGAGGGCAAGAAAAAAGAAGATTGGGTAAGTACTTTATTTCTTGTTTTTCATATTTATTCTTTATTTATTATTATAAAAGTAACTAAAATTAAAAGTACAAATCTTTTTGAACTATTTAACACTAGATTAGGTAAAATAAGTGATAATCATAATATAATTAAAATGGTTCATGAGGCATGCACGTGAGCAGCTCGTGGGTAATGTAATTCGATAGCGTAACGTTCCCTGAGTGATTTACAACTTATAATGGCGAAGATAGTAGTTAGACACAATTCAAACAGCAATTAAAAGGGCAATAAAACAATAAATTTTAATTATAAATAGATGTATAATTTTATGAACTTAGAGCTACTTAGGATAAATGAATGTGGTTTCATGTTACAATTTGAAGTCATTCTAGAAAGAAAAGAAGGTTAATTTAGGTTTATTTCAATTTTTTTTGTGGTTATGAGGTCGGTCGAATTGACTGATCCCGTTTTGAGATAGGGTAGAGAAAATAACATACAAACTATAAGGATTTAGTGAAAAAAACGTTTGTACTGCATTTAGGAAGTTTAATGATTACACAAAAGAAATTTGAGATTTTTGAGATGAGGAAAAGTATTTTTTATTTTAACATGAAAATTGCTTTGCACACAGACTAACAAGTACTCAAAATATTCATGGACAATTCTTTATTTTATTTTATTAAAAATACTTCACTAAGAAATATGACTTTTTGTATATGACTCTGAGTAGTTCATTCTGATGGACTTAATTTTCATACCACATGATGACCCAGAGGCTGGGATAGCTATTGCAGTATAACACAACAATAACATCCACTACAAACATCATGATAGCTCTCAGTGAACAATCCCAACTGCAAGCTAAAAATCATTCTGATAGCTCCCCTAAAGTTACTTTCACCCATCCAAATCACCAATATGTAGATGAAAGGTAGCAGAGCATATCGTGTTGAAGACTAGAGATTCTTCCTGTCAATATAGGCATACGTATCTAGTGGTAGATAACTTCAATGCCAGATACTCCAGCTGGGAAGCAGGTGAACACAATAATGGCAAAGATTTACAGTCTAGTTTATATAGTATAATTTATAATGCTACATTCAGGTGAACTAATAAGGTGATAGAGACTCTGTATAGATCTTATTTTGCTAATTTCACCCTGAATATCATCTCTAAGTAACATTTGGTACTTAATGCCAATGGTAACAACCTCATATGTGAGATGCTCATGAAGGCTGGAAAGCATACAGGAGTAAAACAATCTAGAATCCCATAGAAGAATACCAAGCTTTATGTCAGTGCTTATAAAATTCAGTATTTTTCACCATCAAGTGAAGTCAATGACTTCTGCAAAAGGAACATGATATATAGGTGGAACAGTGATACTGATAAAGGCTGGAAAATATACAATCAAGCAAAGGTTGAGTTCTTGCAGATAAGACATGACCTATCTTGGGTAGAAGAAGCAAGGAACAAAGCCTGTGTTTTTTACAGGTGATCAGCTTCCAAAGCAAAAGCACCAATACCAATCTTATAAGCACTTCATTTTGGCACTTCCACAAGCTGAGCTGGTACAAGAACCAAAAACGTGGCAATATCAGTCACTCACAATGATGATGGTCACCAACTCTGTTCAGATAAAGACCAACGTGAGAACCTCATGCACAGATACATTAACTCTTTCAACCTGGGCTCGGTCCCTCGGACTGACCTCGTAACCATTATGTGCTTGTTATAATTTTCATGCTATAGCTATTAAATTAGTAAGCGAATGTTAATGAAATTTGGCAGTTTATCAGTTAACATTACAATGCTTTTATATGCAAAATATCTAATGCTTTTCTTAAGCCTTAAGGTTTGTAAAGCAATGTTTCTCTCATGCCTTTTTTTTCCTTTTTACATCTTGGTTATCTGTCATGCAAAGTAATTTTCATCCTAACATTGAAAATACTTTTATGCATCAGAAAATTTTGAAATTTCATGTGCAAAATCATTATAATGTCCAAATAATTATCAAACATTTCTTAAGAAGAAACTTTATATTTTATCTGTTATTTTCACTAATTAATCTCTGTACGGGTTCAGTAAATTTGACCAATCTTGCAACCACCATAAAAAAAATTAGGAAATAAACATCAATTATGCATCTTTCATTCTAGAATGAACACAAATTATAACACGAAAACATAAATGTTTAGACAAAACCAAACCAAACAAAATTGAAGGCTATAAAAATTCTGATTTGTTTGAGCAATAACAATTTTATAGAGTATTCTATGTTTAATTTCATACTTTTTCAAGAGGTGGTGCATAAAATAGGAATGATGACATGCCAAGAGAAAATGTGTCACATGGGTCACACTAGGGGAAATTCAGGATTTTTGTAAATATTGCCTTGTAGAATTAAGAACTTAAAACTTGTATATTGTTAACATATGGATTATTAGCTAAGATTGTATGCTATTCTAATTGGTGTAACATAAACAAAAAGTACTTTAATAAAATTTTGAATGTTAGACACAAAAACCTTGTGTCATGAGCAGTAAAGGATACCCAGGGTAATAGGGTTAAATTACTACGATTAGTATAAAAAATTAGAGTTAACTTTCTTTGACAATGGACAGCAAGAAAATAGAAGATTAGTTAACTATTTTATTTCTTGATTTTCATGTTTATTCTTTATGTCTAATTATATAAATAACTAAAATGTAAAAATAGGGATCCTTTTAGGTTAGTTAAGATTAGATTGGGTAAAATAAATAATAATAATGATATTATAATAAAAATGTTTCACAGGACACTCACATGAGCAGCTCATAGTAGCTCTTGGGTAATGTAATTCATTAACGTAACGTAAGATGCACATTCCCCGAGTGATTTACAACTTATAATGGTGCAGATAGTAGTTAGACACAGTCCATAGGGCAATAAAACAATAAATTTTAATTATAAATAGATGTATAATGTTACGAACTTATAGCTACTGAGGATAAATGAATGTAGTTTCATGTTACAATATGAAGTCATTCTAGAAAGAAAAAAATGGTAATTTATATTTATTTCGATTTTTTTCTTTTGTGGATACGAGGTCGGTCCAATTGACCAATCCCATTTTGAGATAGGGTGGAGAAAATAACAGATAAACTATAAAGATTTACTGAAATAAAACGTTTGAAATGCATTTAAGAGGATTTAGGGATTAAACAAAGCAAATTTGAGATTTTTAAGATGAGGAAAAGTATTTTTAATTTTAATTTTAAAATTACTTTGCTTATGGACAATTCAAAATAAATACTTAATATGTTCATGGATAAATCTTTGTTTTATTTTACTAAAAATACTTCATTAAAAAATATGATTTTTTGTATGTGAAAAACTTATAATATGAACTAAAAGATATACACACTATATTGAAAGTTAGAAGTATCAAATGTATAAAAACTTTAAACGGGTACAAAAAAGTCACGTGGTTGGTCAAATTGACTTAGCTCGTGTTGAGAGAGATAATCCAAATTTTAACTGTATACAATTTTTAAGTTTTTAATTTTATACAGCAATATTAAAAAGAATTATGACTTTTCCTTAGGATGAGAATTCTGACATTTTCTTATTAAGAAACTTGTCTTCTCTAATTTATTTACCACCCCTCCAAGGGGTATAAAAGTTAACTGATTGTGATGTTGTCATCAATCAGGCAGCAAAGCATAATTTTTATAGCTTTCAATTTTATTTAGTTACACAGCCATAAAATAGAAAATCAGACCCAACGGCCATGCCCAAATGTCACATCCTCTCTTTCAGAAATTATCAATAGTTTTCTCTGTACAGCAAATTGTCTATTTCACTTCTAGTTCAAACCTTGTTCCCACTGGAAACACATCAATGAGTTTAGCTGAAATTTTAATGTCCCTTGTCACATAATTAGAAAGCTAGAAAAATTGGAATAATTATGGGACATTGTCTGCTTTTTGCACATGATTATTCTGTTCTTTGTTGCATTATTTAATTAAATAAAAAATTAATTAGTTCAGTAATACCATTAGTATACAAAAGTAGGGTTATGTGTCATCAACAGCAAAAGAAAAGAAGACCTGAGTAAGTATCTTATTTCTTTTTCCTGTGTATTCTTTATTTATTATTATAAGATTAACTAGAATGTAAAAATCTAACTTTTCAGGTTAGATAAAGTTCAATTAGATAATATAACAAAATTTTTTGTAAAGTATGCTCACAAGCAACGCACAAATAAATCGTAATTTGTATGTAATTTGATATGGTAAAATGAGCTGCACATTCATCAAGTAATTTCTAATTTGATGGTGAGAATCTCAGTTAAGTCACAGTTCAAAGGTCAAGAAAACAATAAAATTTAAAGTATAAACCAAAGTATACTGTTATGAGTTTAAAACTATTTAAGATAAAGAAATGTAGTTTCATGTTACAGTTTAAAGTTATTCTAGAAAGCAAATAAGGGTAATTTACATTTATTTCGAATTATTTTGGTGGTTACAAGGTCAACCTTGTATAGAGTTAGGGTATTGAAAATAGCAGATAAAATGTAAAGTTTTAGTGAAAAAAAAAATGTTCGAAATTTATTTAGGAGGTTTTGGAGATTACACATATGAAATTTGCAAGTTTTCATATGAAGAAAAGTATTTTTAATCTTAACATTAAAATCACTTTGCAGTCGGAGCAGTTAACACTTTGACTCCATATATTCATGGAGAAATTTTTAATAAAAATACTTAATAAAAAAGTTCTGATTTTTTGTCTACAAATGACTCTTTAATAATTACTGAAAACTTGAGAAATGTAATGAAGATACACAAAACATATTATAAGTTATAGTATGGAAACTATAAAGGTCAATTTGGAGTCACAAACTCAGTCGATTCGACAGAGCCCATAGTGAGAGTCAAAAAATTAGAATTGTACATTTACACAAGCTTTCAAATATACAATGGTTCTCATTTACATGATCAGAAATTACCTCAGTGTCCTCTTCCATTTACATTATGTTTATTTATTAAAATATGCTTTTAAGATTAATTACATCTAAATTTAATATTTTATTTCCCCTTTCAGTACACTACTTTTCTTTGCTGTAAAAATACTATTATGGTGAGACTGTACACAATTTGACTGAACAATAATACGATTCAATGTTGGGGAATACAATATCCTCAGGCTGACAGACCTGTCAATTAAGACAGAAATACACATCCAAACTTTAGACATGATGCAAGAGTTGTTGGAGGACCATAAGTGTTAGGCCTAATACATTTTAAAACTAAAAACTTTAACCCATGCCTTCATCTGCACATTAACATTAACTCCAGAATTACTTCATACATCATTCCTATATTTAAGACTGAAGGTATTATCAAGTAAAATAACAATAATTTAAAATATAAAAAATTATAATATATAAGTTATGCTACATAAATGTAGATGTAAGTACATAATTTTACATTCCAACTTACTTGGTGATAACATATGGTATAAACCGCCATAGTGTTATAAAGGCTTCTCGGTGAAATGTCACAGAAATAGCTGTAAGGCTGACTACTAAGGAGTGTTCCACTTGATGAAAGTGGCTTTTAAACTCAGGGCAGTTAGCTTTAACCTAAATTTCAATATACATATTGTTGAGATTATTAGGCCCGAAAAACAATGAAATCTTTTTTACATAACTCATTCCTTTGACTAAATGTAGTATTAAGTCTTCTTAAACTTGAATAAATATTTTTGTGCTTGGATCAAGTATTTAATCATAAAAACTAAATAAACTATATTACAAAATTAGTAAACATTCTGTATAAATTAAAATATACTACCATACATGAATCTCAAAATCTCAGCTGTCAATGGCACATAGCTAGTATGCTGATAATTCAAGTAATTAATCAAAAGAATACTTTAACATGAAATCATTTTATATTGCAATTATAAATATTGTCAATTATTTATGCTTCCTTATGTTATTCTAATAAGTTTTTACAAATTCATACTGTTTGCTGATACCAATCAAGTAGTCCATGGGCAGAAAATGTTAACTTTCGTTTAACAACTGAGGGAACCAATATCTTTAGATTAGAATAAGTGGAGCAGTTGCCAAATGTTACAAAAAATTTGATTCATTGGTGGCTCTGATCATCAATTAACCAATCCCACTGATGCATTGTTTCAACATAGCAGCCTCCATGAGCTGTTGTGTTCATGTTATTGTAGAAGAAGAAAAAAACATTGCAAGGCTTTCACCTACAAGTTTCAAGAAAATTTGTGAATGTATTAAACAATGGCCTATGCTAAATAGCAGGGAGAAAGATACTGCTGTGAAATTACTTACAGAAACAGGACAGAGTCCTGATCATGTGTTCCTATTTTCTCACTATGATATTTCATGCTGTGTTACATGTTTGAAAGGCCATGAAAGACTAGGCTTTGGGTACCATCAAAGGTGCTATGCTAAATAGCAAAAGCCAAAATGTGATTAGAGACAGCTAAGAATGCAACCAGTCTCCCAATGATAACTGATGGTTCTGTTACTATAGGTCTGGAGCAGCCCAACTCATAAACTTTGCTATGGTAAGCAGTGGAATCAAAAAGGTCAACCATTCTGCCTTCAACTGGAATTGGCCCTGATGCTAAACCATGTGCTGCTAATGTATTGTTACGGCAGCGGAAGTCACGTGATGCTACTGGCGCATTGGCACTGGTAGCATGCGTGATGAGTTTCTCGAATGATCGGTGAAGTCAGAGTTTGTTCGAGATGCCCTCTTCGTTAGTATATAAGCCTGGCATAGAAAGCCAGCAGGGATGAATGAAGAGAGCGCAGTAGTTACTTTGGGTTCCGTGTAATTTATGATTCTGTTAGTTTCAAGCTAGTGAGCTGTAAAGTGTGTGTTTTGCACTCATCAACAGCGAAGTTATCGAGATTGTGAATTGCTGTGATTTATAGCATGTATTATAAAGTTGTTAAGTTTAAAGTGACAAGAAACGTACTGATTGTGGAACTTACGTGTACTAAAAGTTTGTATCGAGGAAGAATAAACTGGTTTAATCAAGAAAGGACTTATATCTCTGAAGATCCTTGGAAAGAATTTCTACCGGAAACAAACAAACAAGCAGATACGCAACAAATTGGTGCTAGAGAGTGGGACAGAAAAGAAAAAACAAAAATTGAAACAAGAAGTGACAAATCAAACTACAACTTAGACTTCATGGCAGCAATACAAGAACAGCAAAAGAAACAAGAAGAACGAGAAAATAAACAAGAAGAGAGACTACAGCAGTGGTTGGAGTTGAAAGAAAATAAAAAAGAAGAGAGACTACTGCAGTGGCAAGAAAATCAGCACCAGAACAAGAAAGGAAAGAAGAACGAGAAAAGAAACAGGAAGGAAGTCTCCAACAGTTGCTGGAAAGTCAGCAACAGTGGCAAGAAGAACAAGGAGAGAGAGTACAACATCATCATGAAGTACAAATGGAAAAGATTAGTAAATTTCAAAGTGAATTAGATACATTAAAGGACGATTTACTGTCTTTTACACAGTGAGGATATATTAGCCATGGATCTAATCAGCCCAAGACAACAGGAAGCCCCTTCCAGACCCTGCAGCTAAACCCTAATGCAGACATCTTCAGTCCTGCCAGAAGTCACATTCCAGACATGAGAGTTAGCAATAGGGGTGATCTAGTATGAAGGAAGCCACAGGAATTCGATGGGAAGGCACCATGGGAAGCATACAGAGCACAATTTGAGCTTCTGGAAGAAATGAATGGATGGACAGAGGAGCATAAAGCAGTGTACTTGGCAACGAACCTGAAGGGATAACCACTGGAAATAATTGGACAGTTGTCAGCATACGACAGGGACAACTATAGAGCACTGCTAGCTGCTCTAGAACTCAGGTATGGAACTCAAAGTCACTCCAGAGCCTAAAGGGCTAGGTTTAGGACTAGAGTCCGTGCTAAAGGGGAGAGCCTGATCTTTCAGCTCTTGCTGGCGCAGGATTTGGAAAGTATGGCACAGAAGGCCTACCCAACTGCACCACCTGATGTCCTCAAGCTGTTGCTGAGGGTTCAGTTTGTAGATGCCTTGGACAGTCCACAACTGAAGATACAAGTAAAGCAAGCACACCCCTTTACTATGCAAGATGCAATGGTCAGAGCTATTGAATTTGAATCCTACGTTAAGTCCAGCACAAAGGTACCAAGGTTGGTACAGTCATCAGGATTCAAAGCAAAAAAAGGACAGCTTTTAGAGAAGTTTGAGGGACTCTGCTGGCACATGTAACAAACCTGGGCACAAGAGAGCTCAATACCAAAAACTTCAACACAGGAAAGATGCCACGGCAAGAAAGGCTGCTACCCAGAAAGGTTGTTGGAACTGTGGAGAGCAAGGACATATGAAGAGCCAGTGTAAGAAGAATACTACCAATAAGTCAGCTTTGGGGAAACCAGTAGTGGTTGGTGTTGAGGGATGCCCACCAACCCCTAGCTTGAAAGTCCCAATAGCTAAGTGTAAAATGGCAAGCACACATAGTGTCTACGTTACAGGAAAGCTGGATGGCCAAAAGTGTAACTTTTGTAAGGTGCAACTTTGTCATAGATTCTGCATCTCAGCAAACCCTTGTGAGTATCAAGGTGCTAGATCACAAAGGAGTACCAGAAGCCATACGGAAACTCTGTGGTGTGACAAAACATTATGCAAGTTGTGGGGATCAGTGTGGGTAACTATTGAACTCATGGGCATAAAGGATAGACAGAAAGTATACTTGGCTGACATTAAAGACGAATGCATATTAGGATTGGACTATCTACTATCAAGGAAGTGTGTAGTTAACTTTGATAAAATGACATTTGGAACAACAAAGGACCAAATTCC